CTTAACCACCACACCACCTGCTGGCCTAACACATCCAATTTGGAATTTAAAAAAAAAATGCAGAATAAGTTACCCTTGTGAATCATTCTTAGTTATTAAGGTGAACAATGACTTTGTTTTCTTTATGCAAGCTTTACTTTTTATTACGGAATTCATTTTTCTACATGAAGAAACAAATTCATACCAACTACAAAAACTATGCTGCACTTTCCTTGTTAAATTACAGACCTATATCATGGAACAAGAATATTTTCAAAGTCACTTTTTCTCCACCACTGGTTTATCATTAAAAAATTGGTATTCAAACATTTTGCATACAGAATTTTACCATTTTTTTCTTTTTTTCGTTTCCTTTATTCTTGATAGAGAATGTACTTGTGCACGTGAGAGTCAGAGATAATGAGCACCCTTCACAGGGACTGGTCAGGCTGCAATCCCCTTCTTCCACTCCTCCATCCCAAAGGGTCTTGGGTGCTCTCATGTGTGTACTTAGCGTGTTTTGAGTCATCCAGGCTGGGGGTGTGAACTGCAGTTGACATATGGGATTTGGCCTCTTTTGAGCAGGGTTTATGGCTGTGCTATGGAGCTAGCCCAACATTTTACCATTTTAACAATAGCAGTGAAGACTTCAAGTAACCCAGCAGCAAGCGCTCTGAGGCACAGTGTTCTTGGTCACAGATGCAGACGCTGCTGGGGCACCCAGATGCTCAGGGGGCTCAGCTGCAGACACTGTATCCATGGCCCTAGATGAACTCCCTCTGTGCCCATGTGTATATTTTTTTACAGCTGAGTCCACGCCTACCGAAAAACAAGCTCAAGCTGCACTAAATCAAACTGGCACCAGTTATTCTTTTAGCATCAATCATTTTGCAAATCCAAAACATATTCATAATATTTAATGAGAATATAACTGCCGAATACTTAATGCCATGTGGTCCTTCAATTTAAGAGGCTGGTTAATCGCAATCTGTGTTGTGTATCTTGTGAGCACACTGAAATGAACAATGTGAGTCACTTGAGAAGGGATTACTTTAGTTTGATTTAAATGCGGCCAGGCTGTCAATCATGAAACAAACTCTAATTTTATTTTTCATAGTGTAAACTTCAACTTCCAAAGTGATTTAAACTGACCTAAAGGACAATGCCAAGAATTTTCGTTTTTAAATGTGGTTATTGTACTATGTTCTTCTTTCAAATTTTTTAAATCAAGACTTCTCTGTGTTCCAAGAATTTTATGTAAATTCCCCTCAACGTTAATGTTTTATAAAAGAATATACGCCACTAAACTTCCTGTTTTGTCATTGATTAGTGTTCTAGCTAAAATAGTTCATAAAAGATTACATTTTTTTTAAGGTTTTTGCCTTAGGGTGCATGTGCTTGTAGAAGAGAGACAGAAAGAGACAAAGAGAGGAAAATTGAGAAGTCACACTCAGGGGGGATGGCCATACCACAATCCTGTTCCTCTATCCTCCTTTCAGGATTTTGGACACGCATGCACATGCTACTGGTGTGATTTTCTAGCTGCTGGGTCCAAGACTCGAACCTTGGTCAGCCATGTAGGAGGCCAGCACCTTAACCGCCACACCATCTGCTGGCCCTACATTTTAAACAGAGGTATTAAAATAATGCTCCTCCCCCCAGATTTTAAATGCTTTTGTTGTTAGTGGAACTCATCATTAACTAAATAGAAGAAATTGCACTGGCCTATATATATATATAAAACAAACAAACAAACAAACAAAAAAAAACCCGGCATATCAAGTACAGCTTGGCAAAAAAGTTGAACTGATTTGTGGAGACCACTGGGACTTTACAGAGCCATAAGATACTGATGACAGGATACAGCATGTGCCTCTGTGCAGTTGCAAGAAAAGAGCACTTTCGAGCAGGCCTGTGGGGCCTGCCCTGACCTCAGGCCAGGCAGCCCTGGTATAACTTCACTTCTTTGCATGGTCCATCCTGCTCATTAACGAGTTTTGATTCGGACAACACAAACTCTCAAAGTTCCAGTCAGTCACTCACAAAAACATTTTGATAGCCCCTTTTGTGAGAAAGGTTGGGTTTTACTGACACGAGAAACAGCTTCTACCTAAGGGTGACAGAACCAGAAGATCCCTAAAATAAACTGAGTAAACTGGAGCTCCAGAAGGATGCAGATCGGCCACAGTGCATGTGGTCTCATCTCCACGGCTGAGACTTCAGGCGGCACAGCCCCGAACGGTGAAGTGAGTGTTGGTCCCACAGAAGCAGAGTCCTCATGGAACAAAACTATCCAGATGCCTTTAAAATCTTTATTTTGGTTGCAAAGAAACAATTTACTTAATTATTTAATATTTTCCTTGTTCCCATTTGAAATCTCAGAGCTTGCCCTACTGAACTGCCTTCAACACCAAACTACTGTATAAGAACATTATAAAATACAAACAATAAACTAAGATTATCCTCTTTACAGTATTTAGATTAGTGCATTAAAATGAAATTGATTTTAAAAGGCAAGTGAGTTAGTTAATTGGCAAACACCTAATTCCTTTTCTAATGAAGGATGGTACAAAATGGCACGAGAAGTCAACAATAAATTATTAAGTGTTCAGTGCTCAAAGAAGGTAATTGTGGGAAAGTCACCTTCCAAAGGTAATTCTGATGGAAGAGGCATATGGAGCCATTGTTCTATAGACTCTCAGGGAAGTAAATAATGGCCCACAATACCAGACATTATTGGTAAGACAGTTTAGTGGAATAATAAGTAGGGATCTTTCGAATCCAAACACAATAGATATTTGTATTGATTTTTCATATTCTTCCTTCAAATTAAACATTTACAGTAACTACATTTCTCCCAGTAAACATCAGACTTAAATAGACCACATGTCAAAAACAACCTACCCTTAGTATTTTTACTAGGCAATCTACAACAAATGCTTAATACATACACATCAGGAGTATGAGATATACCAGGAAATTATTCACAGATTTCATTCAGAGTGAATAAGGATCTTAAAAGAAAACCAGCAATAAAAGTGAATTACATAATTTGTGTTGTTGGGAACCAGAAAAAAAAAAATAAAACCACAAACAGATACATTAATTTCTTTTTAAGTTTTGAGAATATTTTCTCTGCAGGCCCACATCAAGATTAAACTTGAGATTTTTAATTGAAGTGACATAAGTCTGAGTACATGTTACACAGTGACAGAGAGATGCATTCAAAACACACAGACTTTACATTTAGCAATTCCAAAAACTATATCCAACAGAGTAAATCATTTACAAATGGAAGGCATATATAATGTGGGGAAAAAAAAACAAACAGTTATTAAATCGAAAAACACAGAGGTTATACCAGCAAAGACATTTAGAAAAACTTTTAGTATTAGAAAATATCAGATTTAATCCAAAAGAAACTCCCATCCCTCATAAAAATAACAAAGTATGGGAACCATCCTTTACATGACCACTTTAAAATAATAATAAAAAAATGATTCAAGGACTCCCCCTACATAATTTAGATAACGTAGTGCAGTAGTATGCTCCTTCATTATTTTAGCTTTTCAGTGTCACTATGAGAATGACAATCAAAACTATAACAACAAGGACAGAAATGATGATGCACAGGGTTTTTCTGGATTTGCGCTGCAGATGCAAAAACAAAGAACAAGTTTACAGGTTTAGTGGAGTATTTCTATGGCAACTAAAAGTAGTTTGGCTCATTTCTATAATAAAAATCAATAGCACTTTATAGCCTTCCATTTTTTTTGTTTAACATTTTATGCTTCTCAAAAATCTCTATAAGGGGCCAGCAAGTGGTATAGCAGTTAAGACGCTGGACTCCAACACTGCTAACGCTGGTTTGAGTCCTGGACCTGGTGGCTTGAAAATCACGCTGGTGCATATGTGTGCATGCCCAAAATCCCAGAAGGAGAATGGAGGAGAAGGGAGTGCAGTGTGGCCATCCCCCACAGGGATGGATTTCTCACTCTTCTCTTTTTCTCTGGCAAGTGTACGTGCCCTATGACAAAAACCTTAAAAAAACTCTTTTATATATATGGCACTATTCTTTCAAAAACCATTCTTGAATTAATGCTATAATTCAGGGAGCAATTTTTCAACTTTTGTTGATATGCTTTTGGGGGTATGACTGGGCTTTAAAAAGACAGAAAAATAAAAGTTACTGATTTAAACAATAGGTTTACCTACATACAAAAATAAAGAACCGCTTAAAAACTTGTACAGTTTTTAACTTTTATCAAAAAACCTCCTCTATCAATCAGAAAATATAAGTGTGTGGAAATTTTTCATAAAGTAAATTTATTAGTTTCAAACATTAATTGCATTTTCTTTTAGAGTTATTTAATTTTTATTTATTATTATTATTTAATTTGCTATAAGGTATATGTGCTCACCAGAGGCAGACAGAGAGAGAGAGAAAGTGAGAAAGCAAGCCTCCAGGTCTGGGACTTGAGCCATGGTGGGCCATGTGGGAGTCCAGTGCCTTAATCACCATGCCACCTGCTGGCCCCTCCCTCCCATTCTTTAATATTAAAGAAAACTACATTCAACATTTCAATATACAAATGGAAACTAAGAGCTAACAAAATCATAATGTTGTCATTGACAACAAATGCTTAATACATACACATCAGGAGTATGAGATATACCAGGAAATTATTCACAGATTTCATTCAGAGTGAATAAGGATCTTAAAAGAAAACCAGCAATAAAAGTGAATTACATAATTTGTGTTGTTGGGAACCAGAAAAAAAAAAATAAAACCACAAACAGATACATTAATTTCTTTTTAAGTTTTGAGAATATTTTCTCTGCAGGCCCACATCAAGATTAAACTTGAGATTTTTAATTGAAGTGACATAAGTCTGAGTACATGTTACACAGTGACAGAGAGATGCATTCAAAACACACAGACTTTACATTTAGCAATTCCAAAAACTATATCCAACAGAGTAAATCATTTACAAATGGAAGGCATATATAATGTGGGGAAAAAAAAACAAACAGTTATTAAATCGAAAAACACAGAGGTTATACCAGCAAAGACATTTAGAAAAACTTTTAGTATTAGAAAATATCAGATTTAATCCAAAAGAAACTCCCATCCCTCATAAAAATAACAAAGTATGGGAACCATCCTTTACATGACCACTTTAAAATAATAATAAAAAAATGATTCAAGGACTCCCCCTACATAATTTAGATAACGTAGTGCAGTAGTATGCTCCTTCATTATTTTAGCTTTTCAGTGTCACTATGAGAATGACAATCAAAACTATAACAACAAGGACAGAAATGATGATGCACAGGGTTTTTCTGGATTTGCGCTGCAGATGCAAAAACAAAGAACAAGTTTACAGGTTTAGTGGAGTATTTCTATGGCAACTAAAAGTAGTTTGGCTCATTTCTATAATAAAAATCAATAGCACTTTATAGCCTTCCATTTTTTTTGTTTAACATTTTATGCTTCTCAAAAATCTCTATAAGGGGCCAGCAAGTGGTATAGCAGTTAAGACGCTGGACTCCAACACTGCTAACGCTGGTTTGAGTCCTGGACCTGGTGGCTTGAAAATCACGCTGGTGCATATGTGTGCATGCCCAAAATCCCAGAAGGAGAATGGAGGAGAAGGGAGTGCAGTGTGGCCATCCCCCACAGGGATGGATTTCTCACTCTTCTCTTTTTCTCTGGCAAGTGTACGTGCCCTATGACAAAAACCTTAAAAAAACTCTTTTATATATATGGCACTATTCTTTCAAAAACCATTCTTGAATTAATGCTATAATTCAGGGAGCAATTTTTCAACTTTTGTTGATATGCTTTTGGGGGTATGACTGGGCTTTAAAAAGACAGAAAAATAAAAGTTACTGATTTAAACAATAGGTTTACCTACATACAAAAATAAAGAACCGCTTAAAAACTTGTACAGTTTTTAACTTTTATCAAAAAACCTCCTCTATCAATCAGCAAGTATAAGTGTGTGGAAATTTTTCATAAAGTAAATTTATTAGTTTCAAACATTAATTGCATTTTCTTTTAGAGTTATTTAATTTTTATTTATTATTATTATTTAATTTGCTATAAGGTATATGTGCTCACCAGAGGCAGACAGAGAGAGAGAGAAAGTGAGAAAGCAAGCCTCCAGGTCTGGGACTTGAGCCATGGTGGGCCATGTGGGAGTCCAGTGCCTTAATCACCATGCCACCTGCTGGCCCCTCCCTCCCATTCTTTAATATTAAAGAAAACTACATTCAACATTTCAATATACAAATGGAAACTAAGAGCTAACAAAATCATAATGTTGTCATTGAAAAACATAAAGGTTAAAATTTTTGTTCCATTCTTCCTTCCTGGCCTAGTTGTAGATTTCTGTATTTCCTTAATGGCTTGCATATCTCACACCAACATGCAGGAATCCTTTTTCTTACAAAGTAAAAAATTTGTTAATATACTTTGTTTCAACTACGAATACAATAAAATTTTCAAAAATAAAGATATATTTATAAAACATATGAAATTACCCTGAAAAACCACACTTTTAGTATCCACATATTCATCTAACTTATCATCTGAATACTCTTTAGGTATTAAACACAATTTCTCTAAAATTTCAATACGGTCATGAAATATATGTCCCCCAGGCTCCATTTTGGTACCAAGACACGGGTGATGTACTCTCTGAGACATCCTGGGTACCCACTGTGGTGCTGCCTGGGGTGATACCCCCAACCGTGGGCTAATGAGGTCCCTGTGTTGTTGGGTCATGGTTTACCCAAACTATTGATATTTGCAAGAATCACAGACAGCAAAGTCAAAAGTTTAATATGAAGGGTTTAAATCAAACTATTGAAAAGCTGCTTCTTTTCTCAGCCTTTCTGTTGCTTAGCCCTTTCCTCATTTCTTCAGGGCCTGTGGAATATAAGTTTGGGGTACAGACTGGGAAGATGTCCAGCTCCCAGCTCTGGGGTACAGATCGGGAAGATGTGTGCCTTTTCCCCATAGTGGCTGTAGGTTTAACCTTCTACAAAGAGGGAAAATAAAACTTGGGGATGCATCTATATCCCTCCTATAAATCTAAAAGCACAAAAATACAAAGCATGTAAACCTAGTCACTGATGAATCCAAATAAACACTAAGTTTCAACAGATATATGCTAACAGCACCGTAAGACTCCTGGCATTTACGGACTGCCCTGTGTGTGCACGTGCATGCACATATGTGTGTGCTTCAACTACTCATGAGGGGAGACTTTTCAGTGTCCATGACATAGTGCCATTAATTCTACTGAGCTGTGTATTTGAATTACAAGCATAAAGATGGTAAACAGGAGCCACCTCATCAGTTAATACAACTGGCTGCAACTCAGCATCTCCATACAGATTGCACTGTTATTTATGTATTACTCAATAAGCAGTGATTTATCCAGAGAAAAACATGGCAGTGAAAAGAAACGAAAGGCAACTTCTAAGGTTAGTGAGAAAAATAAAAAAGCAACTGAAAAAAATCTAAGAAAGTGACACAACCTTAGAAATTTTACAAGATAATGAGGTCTAAGAAAATGATAATGATAAAAAAAATGCAGTAATTTTAAAAGAGAAATCAAATGCTATAGTGGTATTTAGGGGTTCCTAAAGAGCCTAGCCTTATCTTTGTTGACCATCAAAGGTTTATATATTGTATGACATATTAGGTTGTTGGAAAAGTCATGACATATTTTTCAACGTTTTTCTATGCAAAAATGTACGACTTTTCTGACAACCTAGTATTAATAGTTCATGGTCCAATAGGTGTATAATGCTTGACACATAATTTGTATTTGACACATACATATGAAATCTTTGTTATTCTGATTCACTTAAGAAATAAATTCATTCCTAGTAAGGGGCCTGCTGAATATCTAACAATCGATGAAAAAAATCAATAATATTCCAAGCTAATACAATTTCCACAGGACCTGAGGAAACCTCTCTGTAACAAAGATCATTTCTCTTCAGTCCAGGGTGCCACTGACAAAAAGAGAAGATAAGTGTCCATGACATAGTGCCATTAATTCTACTGAGCTGTGTATTTGAATTACAAGCATAAAGATGGTAAACAGGAGCCACCTCATCAGTTAATACAACTGGCTGCAACTCAGCATCTCCATACAAATTGCACTGTTATTTATGTATTACTCAATAAGCAGTGATTTATCCAGAGAAAAACATGGCAGTGAAAAGAAACGAAAGGCAACTTCTAAGGTTAGTGAGAAAAATAAAAAAGCAACTGAAAAAAATCTAAGAAAGTGACACAACCTTAGAAATTTTACAAGATAATGAGGTCTAAGAAAATGATAATGATAAAAAAAAATGCAGTAATTTTAAAAGAGAAATCAAATGCTATAGTGGTATTTAGGGGTTCCTAAAGAGCCTAGCCTTATCTTTGTTGACCATCAAAGGTTTACATATTGTATGACATATTAGGTTGTTGGAAAAGTCATGACATATTTTTCAACGTTTTTCTATGCAAAAATGTACGACTTTTCTGACAACCTAGTATTAATAGTTCATGGTCCAATAGGTGTATAATGCTTGACACATAATTTGTATTTGACACATACATATGAAATCTTTGTTATTCTGATTCACTTAAGAAATAAATTCATTCCTAGTAAGGGGCCTGCTGAATATCTAACAATCGATGAAAAAAATCAATAATATTCCAAGCTAATACAATTTCCACAGGACCTGAGGAAACCTCTCTGTAACAAAGATCATTTCTCTTCAGTCCAGGGTGCCACTGACAAAAAGAGAAGATAGCAAAAACGAACAGCGAGAAATGGAAGGAGGTTATCAAAGGGGTTTCTGGGTTGGAATGTCACAATGACATAAGAGACCACTAGCCATCAGAAAATGTCGCAGCTGTCCATTGTGATCCCCAGGACTCTGAACACTAAACTTCCTACTCCTGTGCAAAACTCTCCTTGAACCTTGAGAATACACCCGCTAAAGTCAGTTTTAAGCTGACTGACCCCTCTCCTAAAGGAACTTAAAATGTAACATCTCCAGCCTCTTTAAACCAGATTTTTTACACACATCCCCCACCTGCCCCACACACTCTCTGTCATACACTCTCCAAGTAAAAAGGCAAAGTGTTATGATAAAATTTCTTACAGTTAACATTACCTGGTAATCTGCTGCCCTTGACAGCTGTTGATTTGCTTGTTGAACATGTACCTCCGCACTTTCTACATTGGCTTCTATGCTATCTTTAAAATAAAACACAGAGGCACATATGTAACTGTTAAATATGCATAGATACATCAGTAATAAATCACTAGATTTCATTTAAGGAAGATTAAATATCCTCATTATTCAAAGGTTAATAATAGCAGTACATTGCGAAGTTGAAATTTTTTAAGCTTGCTATAATTCTTCCTTATATTAAGAGGAAACTTCAAAACATGAGTTTACTTTGGTACAAAAAATTTTCCCATGCATAGTTTTTTTATACTATGCATATCCCTTAGGTTTCTGAACACCCCTCAGGTGATCCAAGCAATATACAAGCATATGAAGCAAAGACCTAAATCATCTTTGTTATGATGCAACTCCAACATGGCTCCTCCAATTAGCAAGCCAATGTGGGCCTGAGGGCTTGTCTTAGTCTCAAACACCACAGCTTTTTTTGTTCCAAGAACAGTATGTGAACAAGATATCAACCTTCTTCTTTTAACTGCTGAAGATTTTCTTCACCACATGCAAAAATTGGTACCTTAACTTTTCAAACAATACTATCTTCTCAGAGAAAAAAAATAGTCCCAAATGCTAAAACTTGGTCCCTCATATATATTGGGTCATCAGAAAAGTCATGATGTGTTTTCCTATGCAAAAATGTGTCATGATTTTTCCGACACCCAATACATATGTTTAACTATGACACTGCCACATCAGTTAACATTTCTCAGTTCCTTTTCTCTCTTGGTCTTTTTAAGTGTAATCTACTTTCATCTGTTAAGAGCATCATGCCTCTGTGCTCCCCAATTTGTGTTCTCGGATGGTCAATTCAAAACTATGTATCGGACCACTTCTAGTGTCATTTACTCTGTGTCCGTCATTGACTTACTTCTACCTAGTTCTCACCAAGGGCCCATGCTGCCTTCTCTAGTGGTGGCAGATTTTTCATTCCACCCTCGTTTGGCCTGGAAGTGGAATAGGTGTCAAGATGTCGCTCTGCAGTTTAAGAGACCCTTCTTTGTCTCTTCTTCCTCCCTGCCAACTCTGTTTTAAAGCTCAGCTATCAGAGGCATCCAACCATCCTTTGTTGGAGACATCTGCAAATCTTGAGGTCTTTTCTACTTGAATATTTTAGCCCAACTCACTGATGCTCTCAACTCCTCTCTTATACATATTAGCGATTTCAATATCCCATACTAACCCTCTGAATACCTTTCTCTCTTGTCACTGAAACACCTTTTCAAAGACTCCGCCTGTTACTGTTCCTCAACCACCCACTGCTAGGATTACATCCCAAACATTGTCATCACCAATAATTGCAGCAGCTCCCTAACCTTATTTTCAAGGACCTCACTGTCTGATCACCAGCTACTACCTTTACAGCTACTCCTTATAATACCCTCAGTGTGTCTGGTATACTTCCCTCCTTACTTAGCACAGATTCTGTGGGCATTCATTCAGCTCTCTTCCATTCATACTCAGCATGTAGTATTGTTCACCCACTTTAGTTATCTTACTTGACAAACCCTCAGCCAATACCTATGCAGCTGAGCAGCATGGATACAAAAATGTAGAACCATGTACTGAGATATTTTACTTTGAAGTCATGTCTGTCTTATTTCCCTGACTCCTGGAAGGCTATATACTGTCTCCTCTCCCCCTCAAACTTCTCGCACCTCCTCCAGCACTATCGCTCTCAGGCCGTGACCTTGATTTAATGTACCTACTAGTTGAACAGAATCCTAACCTGTTTCCTGGCATTAAGTCTTAAGCAAAGTACTCTTGACATTTTTTGATTTTGATTTATTAAAGCTAAAACTGCCTTTCTTGAAATTAAAAATATATTTAAAAATACCTATTTAATGACCACAGTAAGCTATATATAGCTTCAGCCAGATGCTACTTTATAGTATATCCATTTGACCCACAGAGTTTGATGTCTAAAGTCAGACTTATGTTCACAGATTATCTATATATCAGCTGAACTTTATATTGAAAGTAGTTAACTAAGATATTTTATGAATCAATAAAACGTGTGTGGGGGGGGAAGGAATGGAAAGCAACTGTAAATACCAGAGACAGTGTGGAAGAAGGGTGGGAAATGGCAGAGGGTGAGTAATGGGGGTGATTATACATACACACACACACACACACACACACACACATTTCAGAAACAATAAATAGAAAATTATTTGTTGACGATAACATGTAAGATTAAGCCACTAAACAGTATATTCTGGATGGGAAATCTCATTTTGTATGCTGTGATGTTCAGTGAATAAATATAAAATAAATAAATTTTTTTTTAAAAAAAAAAGCTCAATCAGACAACAGGGACCATCAGAAGACATTTCTTTTTCTTTCTGTCTGTCTTCTTCTAATATTACTCTTTTATTTTTAAAACTTCTATTTTATGATTTCTTCTTTACATTTAGTTGTTGTACACCTTTATGGCATACAACATGGTATTTCAAAGCTTGTGTGCAGTGTGTGACAATCAAGCATCTCCCATGAAGCTGTCTACCTGCCACATACAACATCTATGTACTCTGACATCTTTCTTCACTCTCACATCTCCTGTTGTCAGGGTGGGGAGAACTCCCTGAGACTGAGCCAGAACCAACCTCTCCTTCGTTCACGTATCTCACCCTTACTAGACCAGCAATCTTCCTATCTCTCACATATCACCAATATCTCTTTCTTTGGTAAATTGTTCCCATCAATTCTATAGCTGTCATCTTAAAAACAAACCCCAGAAGGACCTCCATTTACAGCATACCCTATGTCCTCAGTCTCTGTCCCACTTTCTCACTTGACTCCTTGAAAGATTCATCTCTATCTGCAGTTTTCCGTTACCCTCCTCCCATTCTTCCTTGAACCTACTTTTTTTTTTGGAGAGGTTTTCGCTATAGGGCGCGTGCGCTTGCCAGACAGACAGAGAGAGACAGAGAGACAGAAAGTGAAAAATCACCCCCCAGGGGGGATGGTCACGCCGCAATCCCTTCTCCTCCATTCTCCTCTCGGGATCTTGGGCACGCACGCACACGCACCCAGCGTGAGTTTTAAGCCACTGGGTCCAGGACACGAACCACGGTCAACTACATGGGAGTCCAGCGACATAGCCATTACGCTAACTGCCGGTCCCCTTGAACCTACTTTTATCATGTGTTCATCTCCACGTTTGACCAACACAGCTCTTAGGGAGGTCACCGATGCTAACATTGCTAAGTGCAGTAGTCAACTTATCTTACTGCTCATCTCACTTGTCCTGGCAGGAGTATGTGGAATAGCTGATCACTGTTCTTGAAGCCCTTTCTTCTCTTTTCTTTTAAGACAATACATTTATAAGGTTTTCCTCCGTATCACTGTCTTCATTTTTTTTTTCTCATAGTTTTTTCCTTTTTCTTTTTTTCCTCAGCTCTCTGTACTTTAAATTTGGGGTCAACAAAATTATCTATAAAGGGCCAAACATTATAGTAAATAATCTGAGCATTGGCAGTCATATAATCCCTGTCACAAGTACTCCACTAAGCCTTTACTATGCAAAAGCAGCCATAAACAACACATAATAAAATGGAAGTGGTTTTCCGATACCACTGGAGCTATTTAGAAGACTCAGTGTCAAGTCCTCAGACCCCTTCTCTTCTCTCTCTAGACTTATTTCCTGGGTAATCTCACCTAATCTCATGGCTTTCAAAAACCACCTATGTTCTGATAACTCCTAGATTTCTATCCTCAGCTCAGCCTTCGCTAACTCCATGTTCACTTTAACAGTACTAAACAAACTTCACTTGGAGACAATGCACCTCAAAATTAACATATCCATGTTTAAACCCATCTGAATCTACTCCAGTGAGTGAGAGATTTCCCTGTCTCAAAAAACAGCAACTCCTCCATGTTAGTGGGCCAGGCCGAAGTCCTGGAGAATGCAGAAACTCTCCCTTGCATACACAGCCAGCCAGTTGATAACATCCTTCTGGCTTTACATTTAAAAGATATCTGGAAGTCCATCACTTCTCCCACTTCTCTCATCTAAGCCAGCACAACCGCTCACCAAAATTACTGTAACAGATTTTAAGTGGTCTCTTGGCTTTTAGTCTTGCTGCTTTATAGTCTATTTTCAAACCCAGCAGCCAACTGAGTCTTTTAAGCCAGGTCTCAACACTCCTCCACTGAAATCCTCCAGTGGCTCCCCATTCTTTATTAATAAAGATAGTCTTCTCAGGGATTCCTACATGAGACCACCTCTATGATGCCATCCCTCAGGTCTGCTTCTACCTCCAGGTTCAGTGTTTCCTGTTCCTTCCACCTGGAACACTTTTTCTCACTTGCTTTCTTCCTTCCAGGAAGGCTTCCTAAGATGTTACCTCTCAGGGGGAGGCCTTACCTGACTCCTTTGTGTAAAGTAGCAACATCCTCCACCCCCAGCAGTTGCATCTACCTCTCCTGGCCTATGCTCCCCACGGCACCTTCCAATATTTATTTGCTTTTCTTTCTGTTTTTCTTTTCTTTTTAAATTCCACACCTTCGCCACGCCCCCCACAGTTTTGAGACCCATGAAGGTGGGAAATTTCACCTGTTATTTAATTTCAACCGAATCCTCAGTACCTAGATTTGTGCCTGGACACAGCACAAGGCTCAATAAACATCTGTTGGATGAATGACTACATTGGTTTTTGAAATTTTACCCTGTTATTTTCTGGGGCTACAAAGGAGAATAAAACTGGACAAATGAGTTATATTTAACTAAAGGCACAAGTATTTCAATTGAACTAAATTCAGAAAACATTAAATGCATCTTTAGGTACAACTGCAGACATCTCTATACTTCAAAATGGAAGAAACAATCAGGACCCTGATCAATGTTGACAATTATATCTTAACTGAACAACTGTTATACTTAAAACTTTAAAAAATAAAATAAAATTTTCCCAGCATGTGCTGTGGTGGCTAAGGCACTGGACATTCCCACATGGCCAACCACAGTTTGAGTCCCAGACCTGGTGGCTTGCTTTCTCACTCCCCCCCCACCCCGTGTGTCTCTCTCTGGTCAAATTAAAATAAAATGAATGAATAAATAAAATAAAATAAATAATTCTTTAAAAAAAAAAAGAATTCCCAGCATGTAAGTAAAACTACTAAGTTAAACTAATGAAAATTTATTTGAATGCTCAGGCACATGGCTACCTAGTTCCAATAACATAAAAGACAAGATAATCATGCATGACAACAAACACCACACGTTTCCCCAAAAGACTGGCCTGAAGAGAACTAAAATGGGATAAGACTGAAACCAGAGGCTCCGGACATAAGCTGGCATCTTATGTGGCTCCTTCCATGGCTACTGCACCAACAGCAGCAGCAGCAGCAGGTCCTGATTATATGTGAGGCTGCTGTAATAATGAAGCTGGTCATTTCAACCAGGAAGAGCCCAAAACAAGTCTGTTTTAGATAATGCTCAGGGTAATGCTTTGTCTGCTGTAGAGACTATGCTTTTGATTCCAGGGGACCAAAACAGAGAATCAGCAGTTCCTCTTACATGAGAAAGTTACTGTAAATAAATTACATGTGGCTTGCTCCCACCTCACAAAGTATAAAGCAAGTAGAGCTTACCTATCACATCTCCTTGTTCATGAATCATCATCCCCAAGTCTTTAAATATTTCATTGATATCCATAATATCGGCCTATGGGAAAAGGCACAAATTTTGACAATCAGAAATGTAGTCTCACTCCACAAAAGGGGAACATTTAAAAACCTAAACTGCCACTTGTAAGTAAATGGGTGTGCCTCTGGGTTTAAGACATATGTTTTGGAAATATCAGGAAAATATTATACTGTAAGTGATGCTAACAAAATACATTTTGAGTAACAGCCACTAATTCTGTAACACAAGCTTGTGATATTAAACAATATCAAGTATAGGCCCACAGGTGGCATGGAGGTTAAGGCTGTTGGATGCTACATGGCCGACTGTATGGTTCAAGTCCTGGATCTGGTAGCTTGAAAATCACATTGGGCGTGGGTGTGTGTGTGTGTCCAAAATCCTGAGAGGAGAATGATGGGGAAGGGACTGGAACATTGCCATTCCCCCTGGAGGGTAATTTCTTACATTCCTTCGACATTTCTCTCTCTGGTGAGTGCACAAACTCTATAGCAAAACTAAAATAAATAAATAAGTAAATAAGTAATAATAATCAAGTAAACCAGGATGAAAATGAAGGCTTTTTAAAAAAAATTATTTATTTATTTTTTTGGGGGAGAAGTTTTTGCTATAGGGCGCATGCACTCGCCAGACAGACAGAGACAAAGAGACAGAAAGCGAGAA